GCAGGGGCAGTGGGCTCTGTTGTGGGGCAGATAGCTAAGCTCAAGGTAAGTGTCTTCCCCTAGTCATGCCTCTGCAAGACCCACAGTGTGCACTGAGAACAGCAGCGTCTGCGGAGGGCTCTCTGGACCGTGTGTGTGTGTGTGTGTGTGTGTGTGTGTGTGTGTGTGCAGTCAGCTTGCTGCGACTAGTTTAGAGGCTAAGAAGTCACAATGAGGAGAAGACAGCAGTAAAGATGAGCTGACCAGTGTTGACTGATGACTACAGGACAGGTCAGGAGTGGGCCCAGCTAGACTGCTGAGTACTGGCCCTATGTTTCCATTATTATTATTGATGTTGTGTTGTTGTTGAACGGGCCCAGGTAGACTGCTGAGTGCTAGCACTACTTTTCTTTTGTTGTTGCCGCTGCTGTTGCTGTTACTACTACTGCTAGTAATAGCAGCAGCAGCATTTTTACTAAGTGTTCTCTTGCTGAACTTAATTGCCTTCCTTCATGATTGTCCCAAGAATTTTACAAAGAGGGACTTGTAAACCAGGAGTCATCACCCACGTGGCTTCATTGCAAAGGCTAAATTGCATAGAAAGAAATGAGCGGTCAGCATAGGGTCCTTGTTTGGGAACTAGCTCCTGCAATAGAAACGTAGGCAGAGTAGACTGTGATTTGGTCTCTGCTCAAGGGAGACAGTCTTGGGGGTGAGTGTACAGGAGAGCAGGCAGCTCAGACCTGGTCAGGATTTGGCTTCTCAGGGCATGGACGTTCTCAGGTGACCTACCTCGGCAATGTAGCTTTCCCAAAGGCTTGTGTATAGGACTTGGGACGTGTTCTTATAGAGACAAGGGAAGGGGAGTAATCAATAGCCAAGGGTTGGTCTCCACTACTAATAGGAACTTGAACATGAATGAGGTCGTAGGAAATATTTACATATGTAAATACATAAACGGGAAAGCAGCTGAATCTTATAAATGCTGTTTCAGCTTTTGTCATGTTAACTCTACAACCAATGAGTTGCATTTGTTTCCCAGAGCCATTTTAGCATTCCATATACCTTTGGAACCGATTTAGTAGATTTTGGGGTAAAGCTGGTAATTGAACCCAGGGTCTAGTACATGTGTAGCACGGGCGCTACACTGAGCTATACATACCCCAGTCCCTGACTCGCTAACATTTAGAGAGAAGTTTTGCCTCCGTCTTTTATGCTTGAGTTTGATTTGAAGGTTTTGGCTTTTCTTTTGCTGAGCTCAGAATGTCTAACTATATTCAGCATAGGCTAGATTTATAAAATGAATGAGGAGTATTTCCAATATGTAGATTGCAAATGTTTTATTAAAAATATGGGGAGCTGGAGAGCTGACTGCATGGTATAGGAGCATGCGGTACCTGCCTGACGACCCGTGTTCAATCCCTGGACCCGATATAAAGATGCAAGGGGAAGGGGAGAGCCAGCTCCACAGAGTCATCTCCTGGCCTCCACATGCGTGCTGTGGCATGTATACACCCATACTCATATGTCATGAGCACACACATGTGACTAATAATAAATATAAAGTTTCAAAAATCTTCAAGGGGGCCAGGGTCTGACTGCATCCATGGATCAAGCTAGTGATAGATTCATGATCTGGTGACAGTGTTGGTAGATGACAAACTAGAATGCAAGAGTTTACCTGGAAGAAGTAAGTCACTGGACTTGTGTCTTTGAAGGTTGTTCTAGATTCTCCTTATCTGTTTCTGTCTCTTCTTGTTCTTCTGGCTGCCATAGCTGAGTGGCTCTCTAATGCCATGCTCTTCTGCTGTGATACATATAATATATTCCAGACACACGGAAGCAAGTGACTATGGGATAAAGCATCTGAAGCTGTGAGCCAAAATAAATCTTTCCTCCTTTAACTTGTTTTCTCAGGTGGTTTTCATAGCGTGGGAAAGTTGACTAGCACAAGGTGTGTTCTTGGGCAACCTGATGGTGTAAGCCTGAGAAAGTGGAATTGGACCATGCTTCTTTAATGGGTGGCATTTCCCCCACATTTAGGGCTGCAAAGTTGTTGGTACAGCTGGGTCTGATGAAAAGGTTGCTTATCTTAAGAAGCTTGGATTCGACGTGGCCTTTAACTACAAGACAGTGAAGTCATTGGAAGAAGCTCTGAGGACAGCCTCTCCGGGTGGTTATGATTGCTATTTTGATAATGTAAGTACAAACTGAGCTTATCTGATTTTACCAATAAAGTATTACATAAAGGAACATGTTTCTGAAGTTTCCAGTTAGAACATATGAATAAAGTGCATTCTTTGGGGGTGGAGCGATTTGTTAAGATATAATGCCCAGACCATGGGATTTATTCATTTAAACTGCAGAGCCAGACATAGTAGCTATGCCTATAATCCCAGTACTCACAATGCTGAGGCAGGAGAATAGCAGGCTCAGGGCAAGCCTGGGCTTCATAGTGAGACTGTGTCTTCCATTATCAAGCATTGAATGAGTGAATGAATGAATGAATGACCAAACAACCAATTGTAGAATTTTAGACTGAGGATATTACTCAGTAATAGAGCTGATGTCGACCATGTACACAGTCCTGCATTCAATCCCAGCACGGCAAAAGAAAGGAAGTTATAGTTCTAGTCTTAACTGTCTATATGACCATAGTTTTAGAATATTTATCATTCCCCAAAGAAACATTAGTCATTGGTTACCCTCATCCTCCCCTTTCTCCCCTCAAAAATGTGTTCTTTTGTGCTTGGCCTCTTTCACTTAGCAAAATGATTCCACATCCATCTATGTTGTGGTAGATATCAGTCTTTCATTCTTTTGAATGAGTGAGTGCTATTTCATTGTATGGATATCCCACATTTTCTATCTATCTATCAGGTGATAGGCATCAAGTTCTTTTCACTTTTTTTTTTTTACCATTGTATAAGGCTACTATAAATGTTCAAGTACAAATTTTTGTTTGAATTTGTTTTCATTTCTCTTGGGTATTCACCTATGAGTTGAATTGCTAGGTCACATGGAAACTTTATGTTTACATTTTGAGGAACTGCCAAAGTGCTTTTGCAAAGTGACTGCACTGTCTTACATTCCTAGCAGCGGTCTTGAATGATAAGAATCTTTCCATCGCCTTAACGCCACCTGTGATTGCTGGTTTTCTTATACTTGTCTTAGTCTGTTTGGAGTGATATCTCAAGGTGGTTTTGAATTACATTTCCTTGTGACAAATGGCACTGAAGATCGCTCATGGACATATGTGTATCATGTCTGGGGAAATGTGTATAGCCTAGTGTTCATTTAGGTTGCCTGAGTTCTTTATATATGTGAGTACATGCCTCTTTGTTGCAGTTAGCTTTCTTTATTTTTAGTGGTTGTATTCCAGGATGTAGAAGTCACTAGGATGACTGAACTATATGTCTCCTAGGAGAAATGTCTACATGTGAACGTTTCTCATGTGTATTATAATCTTAAATCCTAGCACACACACCCCCCACCGCCTTCTGTAGCTTGTTTATTTACAGAAGAGAAATTAGGCTCAGAAGCATCACACTAAGATGAAGTGTTATGTAACTGGCCCTTAAACTCACAAAGTGACATCCATTCTCCACTCTATTCTGCCCAAAGCCCAGGCTCCACTGTCCCCATCCTTTGTCATCACTGTATTACAGGAAGGCAGAGCATCGCATTGCTTGTTCAGTCTCTGCTGGGAACACCTATGTCTGCAAATGATCTGGGTCCCATTTTGAAGGCACAGATGAATCTTAGCAAGTAATACAGTTCACAAATATGGAATCTTGTGAGAATGAAGATTGACTGGATATGGTTTTCAAGGGTTTTCTCTAGCTCCATGAGCTATCGTCATTCTCTGGATAGTATCCTCAGAAACACAGACATTTCGATTACTTCTGTCATTGGTTGGGCATTTGCTGTGCTGTCTAAGAATGCTGCCTTCTCAGGATCACCGATATGCACTTCTTTGCTTCTATTGAGAGTTTAAGGGTTAGATCTGACACTCCTGTCAGCCTACATGTTTGTGCTACAGTTTGGGAGAGCCATTGATTTTTTCTGTGTGTCTGTGCACCAATTGCATAAGTGGTTATGTAGTTCTGCACCAGGTGTTAAGCCTTTCCCCCTTAGGAACTGTCTTGACATTCATTCATGTGGAAAACCAACTGTTAGCAAATGTAACAGTTTCCTTTGGTCTCCGTCTAGTCCCACTGACCTGCATTTTCTGTTTTCATGCTGCTTTAATTGAGCTTTGCAGTATATTTTGAAATTTGAAAGAGTGAGTCCCATAGCTTTGTTCCTCAAATGCCTTTGTGTAGTCTTACATATCTTTTAGAATATAGGATATGAGGCTATTGGGCTATGCAGAAGATTATAATATTTAACACACTAACTTTATGCTATACAAAGTATGTTCCTGAGGTTAAATGAAAAATGTCTTTTTTGCAAACTATCTAATGTAACCAAGGCTGGCCTCAGACTTACTGTGTAACTGAGAATGACCTTAAAGTTCCGATCCTCCTGCTTCCACCTCCTGGAAATGTCCATTTCTGATGTATTTTAGTGCAATCATTACAACTGCTGTACTGATTCAACCAATTTTGTCGGTTCTCCTAAATGGATTCTTGAAAGTATTTACATTTTTTCTTTCTTTTTTTGGCTGTCTACTTAGGTAGGTGGAGAGTTTTCAAACACTGTTATACTCCAGATGAAGACATTTGGAAGAATTGCCATCTGTGGTGCCATCTCTCAATACAACCGCACTGGCCCATGTCCCCAAGGTACTGTGCTTCTGCAGATGTAGGAGGGCTGGACAAAGGGAAAATTCACAGATATGGGGAAGGGATGGGATGGCTGTCATGTCTTCACAGGTGTGGGCTGACTTCCTAGTGCAGCAAGCCATCTATCTGTGTTTGATATGCCCTGACAGTTTTCCCGAGAAAGAGGCATGGCTGACCCCACTCTCCTGCTGTACACACTCTTTGATTGGCCTCTTATTTCTCTTGTCTCTTCATCTCTCTCTCCTTTACTCTCCTACACTGAAACCATCACTCCACACCTCTCCTTTATACTCCCAGAAGTCCCAAAGCAGTATCCATTAAGAACCTTAAGTGCCTTGCTTCTGGTCTATGAGAATCCTGTGTGAACCTCTTATAAGATGAGTGACTGTCACAAAACCAAGCCCACTGCCGTTGCTCCTCACATAGGGTCCCTGCTCTGTTATCAGGGTGACAGATTTATCTGAGATCACCAAGAAGGAAGAAGAAGAAGGAATCTGTGTTTATAATCAGTCTATGGGTGACCACAGAACAACTGGTTACTTCTGTTCTGGGCTTGACTAGTGTGAATAAAATCTCATAGCACATGTTGACAGCAGAACTGCCTGGAGACAGGCACTTAGAGCAGAAGCGTCTGAGGAAGAACTGATCACAGAGTCCCTCTTGGGTTGTGGAGAATCAACCAGTTTTAGTAGACCTTGGAGACAAGTCATTATTTCCATCAGTTCATAGCCAGGTTTGCTTTATTGCACTCAAAATAGAAGTCAGCATTTCTGTCAGCATGGATAACTCAGCAAAGACATTCCAGATTCATTTGGCAACCTCACTGATAGGGACAAACCACTCATCCATCTTCTTTTGCAATTGATGCTAAGGTGGAATCATGGGAAACCATCTGTCTGCAACCCAAAGAGAGCTACAGGGTACATTTTCTTAACTGTAGTTCAAATAAGTATAACCACATAGTTCTAGACATATTAATTTGATCTAGTCTTTCTAGCAATTAGTTTTTGTAATTTTAGTTACTCAGACAGATCTTAGAGATGGCAACTGACCTTGTCTAATTTAATCAGATGGGATTCTGCTTTGCTTCTGAGGCCCAGAAATTCTAGCACAGTCCAGTTTCATTAGACCTTGGAGACAAGTCATTATTTCCACCAGTTTATAGCCAGGTTTGCTTTGTTGCCCTCAAAAAAGAAATCAACATTCTTGTCAGGATGAATAGGTCAGCAAAAGTGTGTCAGCCTCTTCCAAGACAAGGAAATGAAAGTTTCAACCTTTGTGAATGTGTGTGGTGTGGTGTTTGTATGTGTGCAGGTGTGTGTTTGTGTGTGCCTGTTTGTGTGTGTGTGTGTTCTCAAGCGTGAGTGTATGTGTGTAGGTCAGAGGTCAACCTTGGGGATCCATTTGGGGTTGCTTTCCATCTTAGTTTTTGAGACTATTGTCTGTCACTGGAGCTGGGGCCCATTAATTCATCCTGATGCCTGGCTGAGTTCAAGGGATCCTTCTATCTGGAGTAGAGATTTGAATCACCATGCTTTTACATGGGTGCTGGGGGAGCTGAACTCATGTCCTCATGTCTGCATGGCAAGCACTGTCCTGACTGCGCCATCTCCCTAGCCAAGGTTGAACCTTTAACTCAGAATAAAATAAGGTTAATGAAATCAGGGTGCTATGAGCCTTTGAAGAAGCGCCATGCTTCAGAAGTGGTCTGAGCATGGACTTCTTTATGACTTGATGTATTCATTCTGCATTTACGTATGCCACTCACCGTGTGACAGTTTCCATGGGTTCGAGACAAGGTTCCATTTTCCTCACTACAGGTGGTACTTTCTTCAGAGTAGTGAATGGACTTCAGTTATTCTGGATGCCAAGGATGCATTGTTCAGCTCTCCCAACCCTTCCATTCCATTAGCATCTACTGCTGACTCTCGGAGAGTGTGAGACTAGTTGAGCATTATGCTCTCAGATGCTGGCCACCAGGCAACCATTGCAGCCTTTTCTCTCACTGTTCTCTTTTTCCCTATGGAATGTAATATACTCCTAGGCTCTGGGGTTTGGGCTGTGGATGTCTTTGGGGGCACTATTCTCCCCACCACACAGTTAGTGGCAGTGGGTGGCAGCCAGCCCCATGGATCAGAAGGGAGTGGAGGGAACAAAATGGTAGGGGTGGGGAGTGCTTGGAGAACCATGACAGTGATTTGTAGTACTTGTGCTTCACTGTGGACACAGCCCCGGACTCTGTCCCACAAACACGCCCTACTTTTCCAGGCCCACCCCCAGAGGTTGTTATATATCAGCAGCTCCGCATGGAGGGGTTCATCGTTACTCGGTGGCAAGGAGAAGTCCGCCAGAAGGCTCTGACAGACTTGATGAATTGGGTCTCCGAGGTAAGGGGACCAAGCCACTCTATCTCCCCACCAACTCCCACAGACTTTCTCAACTCACAACCCCCAGTCTTTCAATCCTTTACTTTCTTGCTGAATTGTTTCTCTATGCCTGTTGGGTCAATGTTTTCAAATAGAAACAGTCTTTTCTCATCTTAAAAACCGAAACAAACTTCTCTACATTTCTTGGCTGGGGGTAAAGACAGTGATGAAGTCAGTGTGTCACTGTGTATCATGATAGTCTTGTCTCAGCATCCTGACTGCTGGAGTTTCAGACGTACACCACCATGTCCATAGCTGCTCTAAATTCCATGGCTATTCAAATCCATCCATTTTATAAGAAAATACCTGGAGGTGGCATTATTTATATTTGCACATATAGTGTCTTTCTTTCTGTTCTTTTTCAGACCCGTATGTCAGGCCTTTACACTAACCCCATTCCATCAACCTTTGTCAAGGGCACCATGTGTCTCTCGCTCTTGGGTCCACTTGGCTCTGGGACTTGTTGCCAGACTCCTCAGTCCCGTTTCCTCACTGCCTGGACTTCTTGCTAAATGAAGTTGAGCTGTCTTCATTTCATTCTAATCCACTTCTTTGTTCCCTGCCCCCACCACCTACCCCCCAGCCCAATACTGGGATTGAGTCCAAAGGCTCAGCAAACATTTTTTTCCTCACTGCGAGCTCTCACTTTTTTTTCTTTAATACTTTTTATTTTAGTGCAATTGAAGATTGACAAGAAAAAAAGTTGAAAGGACAGTACAGGAAGCTTCCATATACCTTCATGTTATACCTTAATTTTCCCTATTATTAAAATCTCCACTAGTATTTGTACTAGAGATACTGTCACAAAGCAACACAGAATGGGTGCCTTAAACAACAGGAACTGATATTATTGAAGTTCTAGAGGCTACTCTGAACTTGCTTGCTTCTTCAGAGAGTATTCCTCCTGCATCTTCTTATGGTCTTCTCTGGGTGTGTCTATTTTACTCCCTAAAAAGGGCCCCAGTCCTAGTTGATTATGGCCTACTCACATGACCTCATTATATTTTAATTATGTCTTTAAAGGCCTTGTCTTAGAAGATACATTCTAAAGTACTGGGAAATTTTGGAATTCAGCAAAGGAATTTGGGGGGCAAGTAGGGCACAGTTCGGCCCACAGCAATATTCATTCTGTATTTTTATTTATCACACTAGAGTTCAGCTTTCTATCTTATGCAGGCCTCTGTCCTTTTAAGGGTAGGAATGAGCTAGGGCTTTCAAGTTAGGGACAGATTCCAATTTTGTACTGTTTGAGAGCCCATGGCATGCCAATAAGTCTATAAAGAGTATTCAGCCTTCACTGGAGTATATTATGAAAAAAATTATCAGATAGCCTGGGTTTCTACATAAAACCCCTTTAAAAACAAAAACCCTATAGCTGGGTGTTGTGGTGCATGCCTGTAATTCAAGGAGATGAAAGGGCCAAGAATTCTAGGTCAAACTAGACTACAGTAGCTAAACCATTTCTCAGTAGAACCAAACATCCTTGAACATGTGAAGTGCATGAAGAATCTTCTGTGATTTGAACCCTTGTCTCCCAGTCTCCGAAGTAATGTAGAGGGAACCTTGGTTAGAACGAAGAACAGGGTGTGAAGCTCTGTGGTATTTACATTTCCTGAACAGGCTGTACCACTTCCAGTCTTAGTTGAGATGTAGTGTTTCCTATCATCTGGCTACTAGCTATTATGTAAACAGCTTCTGTTGAGGGTGTGCCTGTCTTCTGAGATCCCTGCATTGTTGGACTCTTGTGCAGTGGACCACTTTTTCTACTATTACACTGATGTGTTGTGCACACTCTGTCCATAGATTTTGTTATCCATGGGTGAGGGAGCCTACACCTCAGACTTCCAGGGTTCTTACGGTGTATCTGATCAGTTTGTTGCTGGGACAGGAAGAGAACGTCATTTGGAAAATGACATCAACCCATAATATTTGTTGTTTCAATGCAGGGTAAAATCCAGTATCATGAACACATCACTGAAGGATTTGAGAAAATGCCCGCAGCGTTCATGGGAATGTTGAAAGGAGAAAATCTGGGGAAGGCCATAGTGAAAGCATGAAAAAAAAATGGCCCACGGATCATCCCTGGAGGATTAGCTTTACCATTCAGTACAAATATATAATGCCTTATGTAAGTTGTAACTGCAAGGAGTTTGACCTATCTAATAAAACACGTGTGGTTCTTTTCCATCTGGGACAGAGAGTAAAATCACGACAAACAATGAGCAGGCATGTTTCTGCCAACTTCAGCTCCTCCTAGGTGACCATAACAAATATCACCATTGGTGTCTGTTCTAATTTCATTTCTGATGTTGTAATGAAAGCAATTCAGAGGAGGAAAGGGTTTTCTTGACTTACACTTTCAGGTCACAGTCTGTCACCAAGAGAAATGAGGGCAGGAACTTGAAGGTAGGACTGCTTTGTATTCCGTTAACATTGCCTCTAGCCAGGGAACTCAGTCACAGGCATACAGCAGAAACTATGGTGGAGGACTGCCTGTCAGCTAGCTCGTGCAGGCTGGTGTTCAGCTAGTGTTCTCCTATACTTAGAGGAAATGGCACAATCACCTGCCAAGGAAATGGTACCTCTCACAGTGGGCTTGGCCTCCTCCACTGATTAGTAATAAAGACAGTCCTCCACAGGCCTGTCCATAGGTCAGCCCGGTTGAAGCAGTTCTTCAGTTAAGGCTCTCCACTCAGGTGGTTTCTGAGTTGTGCCAAGACAGAAGTTAAATCCAAGACAGTGGATTTGGTAAATTTGAAGGCAAAAGATTTCTACTCCAATTGATTATAGATACAAGGAGGGGGAAAACCCCACATTACTGATCTATGCAGTTCTCAGGGCCAGCCCACACTGGTGTGCTATGTAGCGAGGCTAACAGATCAAGGAAGGAACCTGTCACCAACAGCTGGGACTCAGGAGTGTTAGGGGAAGAGACAAACTTTATCCTGCACACTGGTACCTTCTGAATCCTGAACATTGTGGAAACATTTGATGACAAATATGTTTAAAAACTAAAATTGTACAGGACAGTCAGGGTTGGTACATACAGAAGCCCTGTCTCACCCCCCCCCCCCCCACTGAAAACTAAACCTTTGGGTCTGTTCCTGACCCCTGTTCTTTTTTCAAGACAGAGTTTCTCAGTATAGCCCTGGTTGTCCTGGAACTCACTCTGTAGACCAGATTGGCCTCAAATTCACAAAGATCAGTCTGCCTTTGCCTCCCAAGTTTTAGGATTAAAAGTGTGCATTACCACAACTGGCTATGATTTCTCTTATCAAGCATTTAGTCCTAAAGACATGAATTGGGACAGCAGGTGCTTGTCATCTGGGGTTTGGACTGGGGAAGCTGCCATGGCTCAAGCAGAACTCACTGAGCAGAGTCCAAGAGTGGGGTGGGTTGGGGTGGGGAGTGAATAATGAAGAGGCTGGGAACACTAAGCAAAGTGTTTGAACACAGCGAAGAGGGCTTTTGTTGTTTGTTTGTTTGTTTGTTTGTTTTTTGAGTCAGAGTTTCACTGTATCCCTGGCTATCCTGGAACTCACTCTGTTGACCAGGCTGGCCTCAAACTCAGAGATCTGCATGTCTCCTGAGTGCTGGGATTAAAGGTGTGTGCCACCACTGCCCAGCTGAAGAGGGTTTCTTGTCTCAGTGGGGCTTTCAGAGTCTACAAGAGTGAGAACTGTCAGTGTGGGTGGGGGAGCATGGTCTGATACAGGGAGGCAGAGTCCAGGCAGGGTAAAGGTGGTGTTTGAACAGGAGGGTGGCCTGGTGTGAGGACTCAACAGCAGAACAAGGGGCATCATACACAAGAACAACCTAGTAAAGGAGTTCAGGCAGCCTATGCGGAGTATCACCCAGAGGATGTTCCAGCAGGGGATATGTGGCCCCAAGGAGGATGGAGCTAGCTTCTACAGGAAAATGAAGGATCTGATACAGACAGCTGGATCCCAGGCAGGTTGAAGAGGTGTTCATGCACATGATCCAGCTAATGTGGAAGTCAGAGCCAGAGTAGAGCTACTGTGTGGCTGTGGGGCCTAGTGGGGCTGTTGGAAACAAACAGGGCAAGGAACATAGCAACCTAGGAAGTTGATGGAGTGACAGGTCTGGGAAGTCATAGCTGGAGAGGAACCCCTGATGAGGGAATGGTGGGACACAAGATGGGTCCATGCAGGTTTGATCCAACAAGGACAAGAGAGCCTGGAGTCTGCTGCTGTCAAGTGAGGGCTTTAGTAAGCTGGAGTGATGCTCGCAGTGGATAAAATGCTTGCAGTGCGAGTGTGAGGACTTGAGCCTGGATCCCCAGAACCTACTAAAAAGCCAGGCACTGATGCTCACCCTGGTGTAATCCCAGCATGGGGGAGGGGGAGGCATGGAACTCTCAGAGCAAGCTCCTTAGCCAGACTAGCAGTGTCAGTGAGCTCTAGATTCAGTGACAACCCTGTCTCAAGGCGTAAGGTAGACAGAAATCCAGGAAGACAACTGGAACGGGCAGGCTGCTTCTCAAGGGAGGGGAAAAGTGATAAAATTCTATTTTAATTAAAATGCATGAAATATTTAAAGATTGTATGAAGATTTGAAACAAGAATACACTTTTGACTTTAAAAAATCTTTCCCCAAATGTTAAAAGTACCCTAGGATACTATCCTGGGACACTCCCGTGAGCTCCCTGCAGTGCCCTGGAACACCTTGTCACCTAGGTATGACCAATGGCTCTAAGCTGTTTCTAGGCTGTGGAGAACTGAGAGTTGACTGAATGTAGTGGTGCAGATGAAGTCTTGAATGTGGCACAGCCATGCCAAGGAACCCCAGTGCCTCAGACCCGAGTGCCCAAGTTTTTCTGGTGAGGTTCAGAGATATGGCAAAGCCTTTCTCTGGTCCAAGTGTGAATGTTGCCAGTCCATGTAAGGATGAGTGCTTATGAACTGTTGACCAGTGTATGCAAACACTAACTACTACTGCTCCCTCCTCTTGGCTGAAGGCAACCTGAGCCTGGTGGCCTGGAGAGACCTGCTGCAGAGACTAGCTCCCCTCTGCTCCCCGTGCTGTACATAATAAACATGCTGAGGTTCTGGGGTGTTGTAGTTGGTATGCCAGTGGAGCGAGCATGGCTACCTGATCTTGGCTCTTCTGTCCTCATCTACTCCTTCGTTCCTTCACCTCCCCAGACCAGTTTCCAGGATGAATGTGTGCAGGACACAGCACTAGGTCACAGTTTAAAAGCTTTAGGCACTGCACCTCTCCTTGCCTCTTGGAACTTGATCCAGATGGCATAGCTGCAAGATGTTGCAGAGCAGCAAGATACTGGAGCTCAGTCTGGGAAACCGTCATTTACTGAACCGAGCTGCTGCAGCTTGCTGCCTCTCTGGCTAACATTTCTTTCCCCACCTCTACTGTCTAATTTGGTAATCAGTGGAGGCTGCCGAGAACTGAAGATATGAATGGCACTTCTTTCAAAAACCAACAACAAAAAAAGTTAGGGCTAATGAGATGGCTGAGCAGGAAAAGGGGTCTGTCACCAAGGCTGACGACCTCAGTTTGTTCCCTGGAAGGCATGTGTAGAGGGAGAATCAACTCTCATAATTGTCTCCTGGCTTCCACACACATGACATGACAGGCGTGTTCATGCATGCACACACGTAAACAAAATCTAAAAAAGGAAAAAGCAAAACAAAACAAGGCAAGAGGTATTCTTCATTAAGTACAACTTTATTGTTTTAGCTGTGATTCACCGTAACTACGGCACCGTACAGGGTGCTCTTGACACTACAGAGGAGCGTGCGCTTTTCAGTGACACACAAATACGTCACCAATCTAGTCAGCACTGACAAACTGACAAATGACATTTGTCTCTGCATACATCAACATATTATGCAGATAGCACAAGTGAGAGCGTTATTTGTATAGTTCACAGCCAAAAATCAAGTGCTTCTTACTGGAACTGTGATTATTCTATAGGTAAAAATACATGAAAAAATATTTAAAGTTTAGTCAAAGGCATATTTCTAAGGCAGAATTCAGTGCAGACACAGATGCTCATACTGTAGCTGTCACGGTAGGGAAAGAAGGGACTGGAAGAGGGTCCAATGCACATCACTGATGAATGCCATTTACAGTAGCAGCAGCAGCGGCAGTAGCAGCAGACACACAGAGTTCAAGTATTAAAGACAACACAGTAGGGAATACCGAAGACAGTATTTCAGGTCTACACCTCTCTTCGACAACTTAGTCAAAAAAATTCCACACAAACCAGCAAAATGAAATCTACATTTCTAACCAAAATACTTTAAGCGACTTTTTAACAGGTTTCAGATTGTGAGCGTGCCAGTTATTCAGCAGCTTGACTCCTGCACATGCACACACGCGCAAGGAGAACCACAGAGAGGTGAAAGTAAATCCAAGGATCATAAGCCACTCAAAACACTGGAAAATGATAGTCTGAAAGATACCCACGAAAACAGAAAACACCACACCACCTAACAATTCTGCTCGGTGTCAACATGAGCAAATTACACATTTCTCACAGAATATATACAGTTCTATTATCGAACATCAGTTGACTCAAAATTTGAAAAATTTCAAGTACTTTTTTATATGATCTGTGTAAGACATTGCTCAAGGAACACTTTGATTATATTGTCTCGAAGAACACCTAAATTTACAAAGAGAAGCCAATTCATTGCCTCAAATCTCAAACTACTGATTTATTAGAAAAGTTTTTCATCTGCTAAGGAATTTCAGCTAAGCAGAAAGATTAGTTTCTTTCAAGAAGACAGAATTGTAGCTGAGTTTAAAGACCAGATGGGTCATCCTTTTAAAGCAAGAGATAGTAGTTTTTTTTTCTCATTGCTGTGTTACAGTGTGTGATTCATGCTGAATGTGTTCTTACTCAGTTTGCTAAAGCAGACTCCTAAGAGGAGTCAGGTACATATTCTCAGGTTCTTCAGTATGCATAAGCAGATGATTAGTTTATGGAGCCAATGAGACAGAGGACAGGTAATGACCTTCTGTTCTTTTACCAACACTACCTGGATGACTCACAAGACGCCCTGCGCTAGGAAGTCCAACTGAAGATGTCCTTGAATGCCTGCAATCTTCTATGATAAGTGAGATAAGCCAGGCACAAAAAGGCACATATTTTCTTGTTATGTGTGTGATGAATGGACAAGAGCCAGGTGAGGAAAGTGGAATTGTG